GGGGGGGGGGGTGTTTGGTGAGGGAACGTGCTGGCCTTCTTTTTAGGGAAAGAATCATTATTTCAGTTCTTAGAGGAAAAAGTTGATTATCTCATCTCTTTTCACCACTGGGGGGCTGGTCTTAGCTTCAGAATTCTTCAGACAGTATCCCGGTATCGGCTGGGACTGTTCGGGGAAACAGCGCCCTCTAGAGGAAGGAGCACCTGTGCTCCGGGTGGGGCCGACCCAGGCCATTTCCGGAGCTTTGCCCTGCTCCCTTCCCAGGGGCCTGGCTGGCTTGGGGGGGGTGCCAAGCTGATTGTTTATCCACTTCTGACTCTCACCACCACAGAGAACAAAGCTGCCTGGCTGTGGGGGCAGCAGATAACAGCTGGAGGAGGCAGACACAAAGGTTGGCACCAGTAGGCATACAGCTGGAGGCGGTGATCACAATAGAGCTCTAGCCAGCAGCCAGAATCTCCAGGGCCCGTGGGTCTCTAGCCTTAACCCCAGGCTCTAGAAGCCCCAGTTTGTGTCTTCCCTGTCTCAGCTGTGATCCTCTATACAGGGCACCACAATGGCACCTCTCGAGAGCATAAGATCCAGAATGAACCTGGGGTTCACAGAAGCAGTTGCTACAGTTAAGAAGTTCTGGGCCGGGAGCCAGCAGACCTGGGTTCTCCGCCTGGGCTCCTCTTCACCACTAATCAACTTGGGGCAAGTGTGAGTCATAGTTCCTAATGATGCCTTTCTTGCTTACTTCATGGTCTGAGGGTCAGATTATGTATTTTATAAACTATAAAGTAACATAGAATCATAGGCTATTATTTTGGGAATGATAAACAATGCTTTCCTTGGCCCAAGAGTTTCCACCCCCCCCCCCCCCCCAAGATAAGCAGAATCTTTCCTCAGCACAAAGCTAAGGCTTCTATGAAGGATCCCTGAAAGCGCAGGGGTGGAGATAGGAAGAGGCAGGCATCTTGAGAGTGCAAGTAGAAGCTTGAAGACAATCTTTAAGTTCCCACCCAAGGTTTAATTTCCTTTATTGAATCTCTTCCAAGTGCTCATCCAACCTGCCTTTGAACACCTCCAGGACAGGGCACTCTCTACCTTTTGAGAAGCTCTCTCCACATTTGGGTGTCCTGGTTACTAACAACTGTCATACCAATTGGAATCTTTTCCCTGTGGTTCAAACTCACTGGTCCTGGTTGTTCCTCAGGGAGCTCAAAGAACAAGTCACATGAAGGTCCTTCAAACCGGATATTTGTGTATAGCCATCATCTCTCCTACTGTCTCTTCTCTCCATTTCCTTCAGGCATTTCTTGCATGATCTGGTTCTGAATCCTCTCATATCCTGATTATTCCTTGAGACTCAATACTGCAGGTGTGGGGTGAACAGAGCAGAACAGAACACTTCCTTAGTCTGGCTACTTTTAATTCAACTAATGCAGCTTAAGATTGCATTGCTTTTTGGCAACCAAAACACATATATAATTCATACTGGATCATTTTATGCTAAAATGCTTAAATTTATTTTCATGGTTTTGCTTACCAGATTACATCTTCCCAATCCAACTTGTTCAGGTAATTTCTGGACCCAAATACGTAACCCAATATTTATCCTTAGTTAAATTTGACCCATTCATCTGGCTCCTTTTGGGCCCTAATTCTGCCCTCGACTTTGCATTTGTGATCTGCCCCAGCTTTGTGTCATCTGCATGACTGATGACCGTGTGTTCTTTAGTTTGGAATACAACTGGTGTGAAGATTGGTCTAGTACAAGGCAAACACAAAGCTCTTTGGTACATCACTAGAAAACTGATTCTAGGCTATCATGATCCACTTACCAGTACTACTGATTTTTTGTTTATAAGTCACTGAATCAGAGTAGCATTCATTGTTCTCTGTCTTATCCCAAAGGACATGAGAGCTCTTGTCAAAAATCTTGCTTAGATATACTTTACTGGATTTCTCTGAATTACCAATTTACTAACCTTGTCATAGAAGGAAAGTTGGTTGGTCTGATGTTGATGTGACTTGTTCTTAGTAACCTCATGCTCGGTCCTTTCGGTAACTGCGTTTCCCCCACCCTGGCCAAGTACTCAGTCTTAGTGTTCCATTCTAGAATTCTGCCTAGGATCAGTATTTTACCTGTTTGTAGCTTGTGCAATGTACCTTTTCCTTTTTGAAAATTAAAATTATGTTCACATCCATAACTTTCCAGTACTTTCTCTGTTCTCTAATAGTTCCTCCAAATCTCTTATAGAGGTTTCACATCTTTTCAAGAGTTCGAGGATCAAACAGGAAGGCATGCTAACGTGTAAACCTGCAGATGGTATATAAATGCAGACATTGTGGCGGTTTTTAATATCACTACTAGTGCTGAGTACTGAATGTGGCTTTACTTGGGCTCTAAATAAGAATTCTTCAAACTTCAGAATTGCAGAGCTTCCCTTTTGCTCCCAAGTAGCTAAGGAAATTTGGAAGTGGATGGCGTCCAGGTGCAGTCGAGCAGTCTCACCTGGACAAAATTTCCAAGGGGTGGGGGTGGGGGGCTGGTAAAATGGGCTCCTGGTTGCCTCTGGACATTCTGGGGTTCTCATCCACTGGTGATCTCCAAGTAAGTGCCTACTTGTGTGGCTATATGAGTGGACCCAAATAATTTAGTTTTCCAGGGTAAGATCACGGGAAAGACAGGTAGAGGGCCAGTGTGAAGAATGACAAAATAGAGTGGCTCAGGCTTCTCGGAATGGAGAATGTGGTGAGCCTCTGTATTCCCCAAGGACCGCCAGACTCCCCAGAGGCCGCCCTGCTCCCTCCCAGAAGGCCTGGCCATCAGATCTTGAGTCCAGGGGCTCAAGTGATTGTGCTGGAAAAGTACAAGTTAGTCCTTGGGCAGGGGTGCCAGGCACCTTGTATGAAGTGAGCTGTCTTCTGTTTCAGAGCCTTGTCCCACTTTCTACTATCAGGACAAATAGCAATCCTGAATTTGAGCTTGTGCAGACACAACCACTCACGTACACTCCTGACTCTCTTGCTCCATTCAGCCAGGACAACGTCGCCACCTGCAACCTGGTGTTTCTTGCAGTCTGTGGGAAAAGGTACCGGTGCCACCAGGGAGCTTCAGCCTGACATTTCTCCTCCACCATTGCTGCTCCTGCTCAGGTCCCATCTGTGCTCTTCCTTACACCACCGCAGACCCTAACCCAGATCGAATTTCCCCAGATGATACATAGTGAGATGGGCTGATTGCTTAGAGAACATCTTTAAAGGTAGAAGAATGCTCAATTTCTACTCTTTTCTGAGCCAGATTAGTATCTTAGTACCACCACTTGAGGCCAGGGGAGAGAATGGACAAATTAAGGGTATGTGTGTGTTAAGAGGGGGCTGGCGTGGGATGACTTCACTAGGGTAGTCTTTCTTGCATTCACAAGGGAGAGGAGGGATCCTATTTCTGAATTAAAGATATTCTTTTCACAGAACTGGTTTTCTGGAGAATGGAGACCAGTAGAGTCCTCTTACTCTCACCCCATCTTCAAGGAACTGCGACGTTGTTACTCTCTTTTCTCTGCTTCCCCTAAGAATTACAAATATCAGGCTGTATGGCAATTACTCATTTACTGAACGTGCATCTTTCTCACTAGGCTGCAAGTCTTGGAGAGCGAGGATGATCTCATTCTCATCTTTGACCTACCAGCATCTTGTACAGTGCCTGGCATGTAATAAGTGCTCAATAAAAATTAATTTGCTAATAAGAGAACAAATCAGTGGCACCAAAATGAACATTGCTTCTTCCTTCCTGTTGGGTGGTGGCCAGGAGTTGGCCGGATTTCTCCAGTAACCTCCATTATACTGTCTTGCCCCCTCCAGATGACGTCAGCGGCCAAGGTGTATTACAGTCAGACCACTCAGACAGAAAGCCGGCCCCTGGTGGGCCCAGGGATACGACGGCGGAGAGTCCTGACAAAAGATGGTCGCAGCAACGTCAGGATGGAGCACATTGCTGACAAGCGCTTCCTCTACCTCAAGGACCTGTGGACGACCTTCATCGACATGCAGTGGCGCTACAAGCTTCTGCTCTTCTCCGCGACCTTTGCGGGCACCTGGTTCCTCTTTGGTGTGGTGTGGTACCTGGTAGCTGTGGCCCACGGGGACCTGCTGGAGCTGGGCCCCCCGGCCAACCACACCCCCTGCGTGGTGCAGGTGCACACACTCACCGGGGCTTTCCTCTTCTCCCTCGAGTCCCAGACCACCATTGGCTACGGCTTCCGCTACATCAGTGAGGAGTGCCCACTGGCCATCGTGCTCCTCATCGCCCAGCTGGTGCTCACCACCATCCTGGAGATTTTCATCACGGGAACCTTTCTAGCGAAGATAGCCCGGCCCAAGAAGCGGGCTGAGACCATCCGATTCAGCCAACATGCGGTTGTAGCTGCCCACAATGGGAAGCCCTGCCTTATGATCCGAGTCGCCAATATGCGTAAGAGCCTCCTCATTGGCTGCCAGGTGACAGGCAAACTGCTGCAGACCCACCAGACCAAGGAGGGTGAGAACATCCGGCTCAACCAGGTCAACGTGACATTCCAAGTTGACACGGCCTCAGACAGCCCCTTCCTTATTCTACCCCTTACCTTCTACCACGTGGTGGATGAGACCAGTCCCTTGAAAGACCTCCCCCTGCGCAGCGGCGAGGGGGACTTCGAACTGGTGCTGATCCTGAGTGGGACAGTGGAGTCCACCAGTGCCACCTGCCAAGTGCGCACCTCCTACCTGCCAGAGGAGATCCTCTGGGGCTACGAGTTCACACCTGCCATCTCACTGTCGGCCAGCGGCAAATACATAGCTGACTTCAGCCTTTTTGACCAAGTTGTGAAAGTGGCCCCTCCTAGTAGCCTCCGAGACAGCACCGTCCGCTACGGAGACCCTGAAAAGCTCAAGTTGGAGGAGGCATTGAGGGAGCAGACTGAGAGGGAGGGCAGTGCCCTCAGTGTGCGTATCAGCAACGTCTGACAGCCTGGTCTCCCACTGCCCCAGCCCTCGCTATCTTCCTCTTTTGAACCCTGGGTGGGGAGTGTTCCCCAGGCGTACTGGAGAGCCCCAGAAGTGCCCACTCCCCGCTCCCCCTTCCGTAGCCCAGGGGCCTGTGGGTAGTCCGGGCCAACTGGAATCTGAATTTTCCTCCCATTGTCCCCTTTCACCTCACCCTACTCCTACCCCAAGACACACACCTCCCTTAAGCCAGAATGGGGAAAGGAGAGAGAAGATTAGGCTGAAGTGGCTTAGAACGCCTCAGCCATGCTTGGAGACTCACACTAGAAAGACCACACCGTTGGATGCACAGACTTCCCCCCCAGCCCCCGTCCCGCGCCCACCAGAAGTTTGGTGACTTGAGGCTGCAGCCCCCTCCCTCTTTGACTTCCCACCTAGCTTTTTCCCTAAGGTGATGCTGTCTCTGATAGTCCCTTTGGGGTCTGTGCCCTCAGAAACATTGGAATCTGGAATTAATTTACCCTGGGTTCTCTACCAACTCCTGTTCAAAGAAGTCCGGGTTTTTCATGGCGTGGTTATTTTCGATCGGTAAGATCTGACTACCGAGGTCATCACTGATTTCCTCTTCCTAGTTTCTCAAGTGGGCCTCTCTTAGGATACACATTCTCTCACAGACGCCTCTGCTCCCAGAGAACTGGGGTTGGCCCAGGAAATGTAAAACCTGCAGTCCCAGCCACGCCTGCACCCATCCTGGATTCTGAACTCCTCAGGTGGGGTGACTGATGCAAGGCTGTTGTCCAAAAGCTTGAACCCATCCTCCAGGCAGCCCTAAGAGGATTGGTCTCCCTGTGTCCTGTGAATGGGTGACCTTCACCAGTATTTTCCCCTGGAAAACCAGCACCCACACCCCATGGAAAGGTCTGGAAATGGTCTTCCAGATTACACCATATCTGGCTTCTCTTCTTTCCTGCCCAGCCCAGCCCACTCTTAACTCCACTATATTAGAGAAAGAAAGGGAAAATATAAGGACCTCCCTCTCAATACTGATGCTCAACTAAAACTAGACTAAAGGGCACAGATTCCCCAGGACAACTCAACCAACCCCATCCCGTTGGATGAGTCACTTCTCAGATTTCTAGACTGCTGTATGGAGCCTCTGGGAATTAGGGATATTTGGTTAATGTTTGGGCAGAGACAGAACTCTGTGGCTGGCAGACCCCACTGTCCCTGTTACCCCTCCCAGTGCCCTTCTGAAAAGTGCCAGCAACGTCATTAGACAACACTGGGAGAGATGGAAATTATATCTCCTGATCAAATAACCGTGCTTCCCTTAGCCATCCCTGAGACTTGGTATAAAATGAGTATCTGCCTCATCCTTACCGTCCTCTGCCACGAGGCCAGCTGTGGGCAAGTGAAAAGGCGAACTTAAAGGGATCAGATCCAGGCCATTCCTTGTTCCCTGGTGGGGACTGTGCCGGGGTTAGGAAGGGCGTATGGGTACCAGAACTCTTCTAAAGCCCCAAATCCCAAGAGTGATGCCTCGTCTCATTGAGGTACCAAGCAACCCCCCCAAACCTCCCCTCCCCAGAGTTTCTGTATGAATCAAGTGGCAGTTTCTTTAAGGTGGACCCAGCCACCTGTGTGCAGAGCCGTACGGAGAACCACAGAAAATGCTGTCTGCTCACTGCGACTGCACAAGGTCCTCTTGTATTGCTCTCTCCGTGAACTGTATCTTGAAAACGAAGACCCTTCATTCTCTACTTACTGTAAACCCTACCACTACTCCCTAGCTGTCAAGAAAACAAGAACCAGAAAAACTTGAAAATGTGAAACAGAGAGTAGAAGGCAAAGAGCCAGCCTCCACCTGACTTCTTTCAATGTGAAAGGCACAAGGTACTGCCCTGTGCATGTCTACTTACCCATTAGCAAGCCTTCCTTCATCTAGTTCTTCTGCACACAGCTGCTTTCCTCCCAAGGGAGCCACTCTTTTCCCATTTCCCCTGTTAAGCCCCTGGACACTGCTGATTCTGGGATAACAAAATGAGAGCATTTTTTGACTCACCCTTGATTCTCCTCCATGATGCAGGACTTTGCTTTAAGTTGCACTTTAAATCATCCTGTCCTTTTAATACAACCTGCCTTACTCTGCCGTAAGCTCCCCCACGTTCAACCCTAAATGGCTCTAGATTACAGCCCTGGTCTCCTCTGAGTGGAAATCCTTTTTCAGGCTCTCGGACTAGCTTTAGGTCTGGTGAGAAACGGGTCCCCTGGGCGCACCAACTTGGTATGTCAGGAGGATACCAGGTGCAGATGTGAAGGGGCTGCCAAGGAGGGCTGACGACACTCAGGGGGTGCAGATGAGAAAGGGTGGCACTGAGGGGCCTAGTGAAATTGATGAAACCCTTGAGTCTTGGGCTGGCAGACAAGAGGTAGGTGGAGGCTCCGGGAATTAGGATATGATACTGTGAAGGGTTTATCTAAGGAGAAAGAAAAAGAGATAATATATATGTAGAGAGATTTATGTAGATGTATATAAGACCAACTATATTGAATGTACAGAAAAGAAGTATTCAGAGATCTTAGTGTGGGGGCAGATATCTTGCTCTGGTTTTGGGGTAGGGCTCCCCAGGTTTCCAGACTTGAACAACCACTGATCCTGGTTTCAATAAGGAAGTGAGATACCTGAGGAAGGTTTTCAGGTTTGTTGATGGAAGGGGGAAGGGTGGAAGCTGCCTCTTCAGAAATAAAGAGGTATTTGATAAACCTTGTGCTGCTGAAGGCCCAGGAGGAGGGGAGACACAGCAGCCTTGGGGATCTAGAATGTGTGCTCCCATCCCCAGCACTGTCCTGTCACGATAGCACTTTTTTGGTTTTAAAATAAAAGCACTCTCCTGTTTCCTTCTCTTGAAGTGCACTGAATCTCCCCTTCTTCCACAGGGGTGGGGGCAGCTGCAGCCCCCAACCGTGGGAGGGCATCGCTGTTATTAAACCGAGAAGCTGAACACCTTGGTGCACGGGAGGTACTAGAGGGCAACTTCAACCCTCAACTCCAAACACAGGACGAGGGGGGGTCAGGCCCCACAAAGTCCCAAGGCAGAGGCCCAGCCCTCTATTCAGCTGCAAGCAGCCCAAAAGAACACCTTCTATGCCAGAAGAGTCCCAGTCCTGGCCTTTGGGTAGGGGGAAGGCGTGACGCTTTGGTTCTGATGCTTCTGTATAAAAATGAGTGGGGCTACCGGCTGCCCTCGGGGATGGTGCAGTTACATGAGAGGCTTCTCAGATCCCTGCTGTGTCACCTCCTTATCCCCCTGACCACTGTCAGCTAGTAAGACCATCCAGGGATTTCCTTATGAGGCCTGAGCAGAGAAGAAGCCAGCTAAGCTATACTACTGCCACGTGGCAGGGACACTCCCTTCCCCAAGGCTGCTACGCCGGTCCTCTACTCTACCAGCTCACCTAGATTATCTGTACAAGGACACACTCTCTGGGCTGTGGACTTAGCATGGGCCTCCACGCTCAGGAATGGCCAGTCTACTGAGGCAGAACTATGTAGGGATGGCTTTCCCATTCGTTGCATTCAAGACTAAACCAGGTCCAATTTACCTAGGGAAAAAAGTGACATTTTTGGTTTATTTTATTTTTGTCTGTTCAGAACAAATTACTAAATAAAATGGATGAATCTCTGTTCTTACTCTAGCTTCTTTTAGAAACTGAAAAATCCTATTATTAAGGCCTGAACTCACAGGCCTACCTATGGAAAAGGAGGGCTGAGTTAGGCTGAGCTGGAAGAACTTAGGGCTACACGGCCAACATTTTCCCCTTTATTGCTATCATTCATTCCCTCCTTTCCCATACCTCCCCAGTAACTTTAGAGCCCTTTAGCCTCAGTGTTTATACCTTTCAAACTCAGTTTTTAAAGGATTTTAAAAAAAGGTGAGACCCAGAAATCTGAACATTGGCTCAGATTAATCCAAGCAAGTTAAGTTGCTTTGGATCCGGGCATTGTCCCTTTTGGCCAGTGATCGTGCACCTAATTTCCCTTCCCTGATACCATGTATACACATTTCTTATATATCCCCAAGGCTCTATAAGCCTACTCAGGTAATTTTTGGGCATTTTTTGCCCCAACTCAAAGAAGTGGATTTCTCTTCTACTCCTATCATCGCTAGCCTGAAAAAGGGCTGGTTGTCAATATCCAGCCTTGAATTCTCTCTGAAAAGAAATAACAGATCCCACAGTCATTGCCTTCTGTTCCCCAGAAATGAAAGGATGGAGGGAGGAGGAGGAAGAAAATTAGGTCTCTTATCACCATCAATAAATATTTGTCTACAACATTTAGGAAACACCAGGTTAGGGATAAGTCATAAGACATGACATATATAACATATATGAAATATATAGTCCCTTAGACTTGGAAGAAACTTGAAAACTTGAGAGGAAAACAAGAAAGTAACCAGCAGGATATACGAAAGGCATACAACACATAGGACGAAGGACAGTAACAAGTTAACAGATACTAAGGGCCAGATACAACACTGACTACATGTTCTAAGGAGTGAGAGCTATGTGGAAAAAACTTCACAGGGTCAAGCACCAGGCAAGGGATGGTATGAATCCAAGACTGGTTAGAACACATCTGACATAAAGGTCAAGAAAAATCAGCAAATACTGAGTTCCTATTATGTGGAAGGTATCATCCAAGTAGCAAAGAAATAGAAGACATGACACATGCCATAAAGGGACCTGTAGTATTACTGGGCTTTGCACCTGCTATTCTTCCAAGCAACTACTACTGCTTGCCAACACCCAACCTCCTACTATACTCACCTTAGACCAAACCCCCATGAAAAGCAGGTTGCACCACATATCCCTCTTTCATAGACTTAGCACAGCTGCAATCTTATAGTACTTGTGAGTTTATGTGGCTATCGTCTGTCTCACTCCCTAGACTGTAAGTACCATGTGAATGGGATTCACATCAGGGCTTGGTCATCAGCACAATGTGGCCCTTGGCACAGCACCTGCCTGTATGGTGCTCAATAAACGTAGCAGAAGGAAAGTAGGAAAAGAGGGAGGGAAGAAACATGCCTCAAGTTCACACAGCTAGTATGCCATAGAGCTGGTATATTTATTTATAAGTAACCTTAAAAGATTTAGATAACATATTTCATAATGCACATAATTAACTGTTAAAAAAAACCCAGAACAGACAATAATACACACCACTGTTTTGGGCAGGCAAAGAGTGCTGCACTGGTTAAGGTGCAGGAAGAGTTTACAGAGGAGTTGAGGTTTCAGTCCAGCATTGAAGGACAAACTATTTAAATCAGTGAAGAGAAACAGGATTCTTTGTGGGTGGTACAGCGAGCAAACGTATCAGAGGGAGAACGCACAAGGCATATTTAAGGGATGGCTAATAAGCTTCGAATAGAGGGCTTTTCAGGTGAATAGGGTGAAAACGTAGGGCAGTGGAGGGATTGAAAGTCAAGCTAAATAGTTTTTTTCTATAGTCAGTTGGGTGCCATTGAAGATGTCTGACGAAGGAAAGAACATAATTATTAAAGTGCTGTTTATGAAAATCAACCTGGCAGTAGAATGCAGAGACAGGAGACACTAGACCACCTAAGAGACCTCCGAAAGCCTGGGTGAGAGGTACTTGCTGCAGATCCTAGTCTAGTGTAGGCGTTCAGTACATATTATTGAGTTGCTGAAGGTCTGGTGCCGGGAGTCCAGCTCCAGCGAGTCCAGGAGTCCCTGAAGGATGAATGGCGTCCGCGACTGACGGAATGAGTGAGGACACAGACACTAGCAAAAGCTGAGTGTGGCCTTTAATGAAAAGTAGCAGCTTGGTTATATACTCTTCAATTACATAAAGAACAGATATTAATCATTTAATTGACACATAGCACAGTTACATGAGTTTGGAGAATGAGATTAAAGTCATTTGGCAGGTCTTAGCAGTTAACTTGTTTCTAAGTAAGCTTTCTTTTTAGTTATTGCGGTCACAAAATCTTACAAAGGTTAGATAGGTGCCAGACTCTTGGTTTCTTTACAGATGACTATCTAAAGTTCACTATTCTATTATTTTTATGTAGGGTCCTCATTCTTTCCTAGCTATACTCCCATTCCTCATCTCCGGTAGGAAAGAGGCTCTCTCTAAAAGGACACAATGACCTTTTGGCAGGCAGGGACAAATTTTATGGACTGTGCCTCGGACCCATTTTCAGTAAGACTTACAATGGAGATTTTTCTGATCTGGAGTTAGGTAATGCCCTGTTCTCATTTGTTTTATAGTTTGTCAGGCTGTTCCTTGGCGGGCTAGCCACAGAATATCATTTGTTCTCTTTACCCACCTGTCGCCATTAATCATTGAATATGCCATTTGGAGGCCACATAGGGGCGGGGGAAGGAACCTCAAGCCAGGTTTGGGTCCAATTCTCATGGGGTCTCACTTCCCGTCATCGGGGGCAGTTACAAGGACAGTAGTGGTTTTTTCCAATTTCCTTTAGGGCCAGTACCTAAAATTTTCAAAGAGAATTGGACATGGCCTCTCCCTTGAAGGGGCAGCGTGAATTGAAACTGAAACAAGCACATTTATTAGGAGGGACATTTTGAGCAGGAGGAACATCGGTGTTGCTCCTCTGGGAAGGCCACTGTGCAGTCCCTGCCATCCGACTGCCCGGACTGTGTCATCAGGCCGGCGGTTCAGACCGGCTCCTGACAGTCTGGTCTAAGGCGCAGGATGCCGAGTATGAAAACAAGCAGGAATAGATGCAAACGAAATGACAAAGTAGGAAACAGAGATCAAGATCTAGAAAAATAAGCAAGGTCTAGAAAAGAAGAAAGTGATCGAATTAGCCAGAAAACAGAAAGTACACTCAAAAGGCTAACTGGACATTATACAGTGAAGGGATTGTTTACAAAGGTGCAGGCACAGTCAAGAAACCGACATGGGATGGTGAAGCACCCGGGGACCCACAACAGGAGGAAGCATTTGTCAGTCTTAAACCTGAAGGGACAATGACTGGAACCTAGTGAAAGGTATAGCCAAGGGAGAGAGAGGGCTGTGGCTCCACTGGGAGCCATGCTCTTGGAAGAGGAAAACTCAGCCAGTGCCACCAAAGATCTGCAGGTGCCTCCCACGGACCCACACTAATGGAAGGCCAGAGGGCAAGGAAGACTGTGACAAACAGGAAAAGGATTTAGCATCAGGGAAACTGGCAATTCTGCAGAGTTTAGCAGGAACACATACTGATGTACCAATACTGATCGCTTGTCATTAATCAGCAGAGGAACACCCAAAATCAATGTGGGAAAGTTAAAACCTGTTGCTCCTTTGCTATAAAACAAGTATACATGTACAGTATCTCTCATAGAAACATGAATTTAGCATGCATAGAAGTAATGAAAACTTATTATGCAATGAGATAAATTAAGAAATTCTGTAATGCAGACTCTAAGAGCTCACAGAAATTAAAGGCTAATGGGTTGGAGCCCAAGAAGAGAAACTCATGAAAGGATTAAAGGGGACAAAATTTGAGACAGGTGAAGGGTATTTGAAAAAGACAACGACCAGGGGATAGTCCAAGGATGCTCACTCTAGAGGCATTCTGGTGAGAGGGACACCCAAAATCAACTCCATTGAACGTGTTATACGCCCAGGTACAGAAAACAGGATCATCTCTTTTCTCAAAGTATCCTGATGGAAAACAATGGAAGAGACACAAACAAACAAAATATCCTAAAGCAGTGTGACAATGCTCTAACAAAGGATTGGTCATGCTAAAAGGTAGTTTGGAGCACCGGGACGCCAGGCACAGGGCAGGACTTTTAAGTAGCAGGTAGGGTCTTCTGGGTGAATGATTTTCTAGAGCTTACAGCCCCTCTGCCTCAGTCCGTCTACCCTCAGCGGAGAGGAGCGGCGTCTACATCATACTGCGTGATGGAGAAATTGGCTAGGAGCCAGGACAGGTTTTTAGGAGTTAAAACTTGAGGCGAAGCCTGAATGGTTAAGTATTGGCTGGGGAGGGTAAGGCAGCCGAGACGGTAGAACAGCAAATACAGCGGCACTGGGGTGCCAGAGGAGATTCCCTGGCCTCCCTTCCCACGCTCCATCCAGGGCTGCCGGATAAAATGCTGGCTGCCCAGTTAAATTCGAACTCAAATATACAATGAATAATTTCAAGATATAAGTACGTCCCAAATAGTGCACGGGACATGCACACGCTGGGCCTCCTCCAACTCATGCCGGCCGGGCGCCGGGGCACCAACGCCACGGCGTTACCCGTGCGCTGGCGGAGTAAAGCGTGAGGAACGACCGCAGGTTATTCTTCCTTTGCACCTACATCCTTCATTCCCGGGTCTCCGGCCCAGGCTCTCTCTGTTTCAGGAGGCCCGTCTCCGTCGACTGGAGTTGGGGCGGGGAGGATGCGGTCGCGCACAAAGAAAACCCACTCCGCTCCCGAAGGATGCCACCCACTCGGGCCGTGCTCACAGGGGACGCCTCTGCGTTCTGGGACCGGAAGTCCCGCCTCCTCGGAGGAATGAGGGGAAGTGAGACAGCCAATCCAGAGGAAGGCAATGCCGGGGCCACTGAGAACCCGGTGCCGGACCCGCGACCGGAAGTAGCTTAGGGGCGGGGCTTCGTGCCGGAAGTGGCCGTCCCGCGGTTGCTTTGGTTGGCAGGCCAACTGGTGGGAGATGCGCGGGCCGCCGGAGGCGAGGAACGCCAGCTAAGGTTAGAGGTTCGGAGGCAGTTTGGAGCCGGGGCTGAGCGGCTGAGCGGCTGTCAGGGCATGAGCCTGACCAAGCATTGGGGAGAATGGTTCCTGAACCTGCGGGTGGCTCCCGCCGGAGTATTCGGGGTGGCCCTCCTTGCCCGCGTCGCCCTGGTGTTCTATGGGGTCGTCCAGGACCGGACCCTGCTCGTGAGGTATACAGACATCGACTACCACGTCTTCACTGACGCCGCGCGTTTCGTCTCGGAAGGGCGCTCCCCGTATCTGAGGGCCACGTACCGATACACTCCGCTGCTGGCTTGGCTCCTCACCCCCAACATCTATCTCAACGAACTTTTTGGAAAGTTCCTCTTCATCAGCTGTGACCTCCTCACCGCTTTCCTCCTATACCGCCTGCTGCGTCTAAAGGGGCTGCGTAGCCGCCAGGCTTGCGGTTACTGTGTCTTCTGGCTTCTTAACCCCCTACCTATGGCGGTGTCCAGCCGGGGCAATGCGGACTCGATCGTCGCCGCCCTGGTGCTTACGGCCCTGTACCTACTGGAAAAAAGACTTGTCGCGTGTGCCGCGGTCTTCTATGGTTTCGCAGTGCACATGAAGATATACCCGGTGACCTATATGCTCCCTATAGCTCTCCACCTGCTTCCAGAACGCGACAGTGACGAAGGCGCCCGTCTATCCCGCTCCTCTTTCCAGGCTCGTTTCTACGAATTCCTGAGGAGGCTGTGTAGTCGGGCTGTGCTGCTCTTTGCTGCAGTTGCGGGACTCACATTTTTCTCCCTGAGCTACGGATTTTACTATAAATACGGTTGGGAATTTTTGGAGCACACCTACCTTTATCACCTGACTAGGCGGGATATCCGTCACAACTTTTCTCCATACTTCTACATGCTGTATTTGACCGCAGAGGGCCGGGGGAGTTTTTCCCTGGGAATGGCTGCATTCCTGCCACAGTTCATCTTGCTTTTAGCAGTGTCTTTCGCCTATCACAGAGACCTTGTCTTTTGTTGTTTTCTTCATACGTTCATTTTTGTGACTTTTAACAAAGTCTGCACCTCCCAGTACTTTCTCTGGTACCTCTGCCTCCTGCCCCTTGTGATGCCACTAGTGAGAATGCCCTGGAAGAGAGCTGTAGCTCTCGTGATGTTGTGGTTTGTAGGGCAGGCCTTATGGCTGGCTCCTGCCTACGTTCTTGAGTTTCAAGGAAAGAACACCTTTCTGTTTATCTGGTTAGCCAGTTTGTTCTTCCTTCTTATCAACTCTTCCATCGTAATTCAAATTATTTCCCATTACAAGGAGGAACCCCTGACAGAGAGAATCAAATATGACTAATATATATTCCAGTTCTTCCGCCACTTCTATTACCTTGGGATTGTTCTGAATGGACCAGAAGAGAGCTTTAGAACATATCATTGAATATCCTAAGCACTCTAATGAGAGTTCAGTTTGGAGCCTAGAACCTTGCTCCACCAGAAATTAAAACAAATGTTTGCCTTATATATAAAAGACTCAATTGACATCCACCTTTAGGAAGTCTTAGCACTTATTTAGCTGGGACATGATGGGAAGTAAAGGTTACTTGTTTGAAAATGGAAAGGCTGGTGAAACTGTCAGATGCTTAAAAGAAAGATGCTTTGTAGAAAAATAGAGGAATATAGTCAGAGACATAAGGTCTAAGCCAGTATTTGTTCCAGTTACAACACGCTACTGCTTGAAGCTGTCTTTTAATTCCCACTTCTTTCTGAAGCTTTCCCGATGGCTGAAAGCTCACACAAACTGAAGCGGTTCCTTAAGTACAGCTTTTAAATATAAAGTGTTAAATAATACTGCTGTGCACAGGTTGGGAAAGTTAATTCTGTATTAAAAGTAGGGGCTTAGAAGATAAAAAATCCAAAGAATTTAATTGTTACCATGTTTCGCATATTTGTTTTGTAATGGTTTTTCAGAACTTTATCCCCGTAGTATTAGACACCCTTTGGCTTTATACAAAAAGGATTACATTGAAATTCATCCATCTTAAACTTGAGTTATGATGTATTTTAAAATAACATCTTGCTTTTGATGTTTGAGGCCCACAGACTGTTAGGACATTTTTTAGTGTTCTCTTACACCCCTTTTTTGTGTGTTTTTTTTTCTTTTCCCTGACATCTTTTATTGGCCTTGGTGTACTTGAGGAGACTGTTGCCCAGAGGGCGACATCCTTGTGGTACTCAACTCTGGAGAGTAGTGGTCCCTGGGGTGGCCTTTACCAGGTCACTGGAATGACTGGAAAACACTGGTAGCAGAAAGAAATGGTTCCCTTCCCATGGGAATTCTCGAAGAGGCATTAGACATTGGTTTCTGTTTCTCAGAGCTTTTAAGGATTTATCTGGGAATTCAGTCCCTTTTCAGAACACATTAGCTCCCGTCCTGTATTTCGTTGTGGTTTATTACGCCCCTTTGTTTTTAATTTTCTGATTTCTAAAAAGCACTTATAATTTAGAATTTAAGTTAATTAGTGTTATCTGTGTTGTAAACATGAACACTCAGTAGATTTTAGGCTATAAAAAATTAAATTATTAGTAAGTCATCTCCCAGGTTAAAACTACCGCTTATGAAAATTCCCTGATGGAATGTGGGAGGCTCCCGGAAAGCATAAGAAGCATCCAAGTAGCCATTAGTCTTCCAGACCAGGAAACCGTGGGAGAAACTGGAGAAACATGACCTGAATGTGCAGATCCAGTTCCCTTATTACTATAATATTTCTGGGAAAAGAATACTTCCTGAGTTTCAAGTAAGCAATCTAAAAATTGAAAAAAAAACCTTCCCAGGTTGAGGACTCCTTCACACTTTAAAAAGCAGTAATAATACATGAGTTTGTGGTTTTAAAAGGTAAGGTAAGTTAACAATATTATCTGTCCTACATAGCAAAACACACACACAAAAAAACAACAAAACACACACACACAAAAAAAGCATGTCCAGAGAAGTAGGCTATTTTATATCAGTTCTAGCCTAAAAAAAGACTTTGGGAATAAAATGTCTCTAGGCTGGTCATGATTAAGAATGCTATTACTGGCAATGATTATTTGATGGATACCTTTTGGAATCTGCCATTAAAAAGAGAAGAATGGGTAGTTTTGCATGGGTTGCTGTTTGCAGAGACAATTGTTTAGGACAGTGACCTTTCTTACAACAACTAGTCTCATATGCCACATTAGGTCTTACCTTGAAGGCACTTAGTATATGACTAGTCACTAGTGGCCTTCCAGCTATGGCATTCTTACTTTTTTTTTTTTACATTCTTTTTAATAATTTTAAAAAGTTTTTTGGTAGAACTGGCCAGAAAGGGTGTGAGAAACAAATAGAATTCCATCATCCCAATATAATTGTCTTTTTGGTATTCCTGACTATTTTTTAAATAATCACAAGCATACTTACTTACTAATTTTCCTTTTCTTTTTTCTTTAGTATTCTTTGTTGTGGCTTATTCTTCATACTTATATTGAAATTGCTGAAGAACATTCCATGGACGTTCACATTGTCAATGTATCATTCTTCCACAGTTAAACCTTTAAAATTGCTTCTTATTTTTTATATTCTAAATAAGACTTTAGACACTTTCTGTGTTTTAGATCATTCCCTTAACATTCTTAGAAGTCATTGGAGTTCTGTTGGGATCTCTGGAGGGTACTTCAAATCCAGATCCTGCCCTGCAAGAAATTCTCCGCCAAAGGACTGCAGGTGTCCCTCAAAAGACACAGACAGTATTTTGTGACTTATTTGTTGTAAAACATTTAGTAGAGTAACTCAAGAAATGATTTTCATCCCTTGGAGTTTTTGTTTTCTCATTTATTTTTGTTTTCCGGTTTAGTAAATTCGTTTTTGTCTTCACTTGCAATCCATTTGGTTTCTTTGTCAGTCCTTTAATAAGACCTTCAAGCCGTATACCACTTTGGCTTCTTTCCTACATAATTCTTTCTCTTATACCACCCTTAAGATCAGTATGCCCATTTATAGATAACAATTATTAGCAAATGACGGATGGTTCTTAAGAGAGTCTGTGTTCTAAACAGAGGGGACTACATGACTTCTGTAGTTGCCTTAATGTCTTCAAAATGATGTCCGTAAATATCTCTAAATTCCCTGGATTGGGTGCATTGGAAAAGCCAATAGTCCTGTTTACCCCCTCCCAAAAAAAATCTGTTTCTTTAAACTATCGATTTTAGTTACTCACTCCTCACAGTTTGGCTGAATGACTATAAGTGACATAACATTGTTTCAAAAGTTTTGTAGAACTTTCAGTTAGTTGGTTTATGGCTAAATACAGTTTTATTTCTCCAGCAGCTCTTTTATGCACTCCCACCCCCACCTCAACCAGCTGTACAATGAATGGAAAAGGAAAGAGATGGAAAATTTCACATGGGTCAGTCCCTAAGTGCAACCTCTTCTTTTTTTTTTTCCCCAATGCTTACTTTGAGCAATTTTAATACTACCCATATACCTACCATCTGTGTTCAACGATTAATACTTTGCCATGTTTGCTTTATTTATATTTTTATTATTTATATATATTTTTTCTGAGCCATGTGAAGTTGCAAACATTGAACTTCACCACTGGCTACATCAGCATGCATCTCCTACTAATGCTCTTTTCTTAGAAAACTAAGACATGTTACCTAATATAATTTGACATCTTGTCCATTTTCTAATTTCTCCAGTTATTTTAAGCTTAATTATAAAGAACTTGGATCTCAGAGATTTGCTGAAAGAAAACATGATAATCTGCAAGAAGTATGGGGCTCCTCCCCCAGGTCTTTAAAACAAAATGAGGACTAAAGGGATTTACCTTCAATTAACATGGAATAAATGCTTTTGTGCAAGCCTGTCCTCCCCCCTAAGAAATGGAAGTAATGATCCCTTAGAAGTTTTCCAGAGAAAAAAGATTGTATGTGTTTGGATTCTTAGTATCCACCCCTAACCTCAGCAACAACTGATGACCTGATGTTATGTCTCGATGATGGTAAGTTCTCCCTTCTGATTGAGTGATTAGGGGTGCCTATTCTGCCACATAGGGTTTCATTTAATTTTCATATTAGCACTTCAGAGTTGGTACTCATATCCTCATTTTATAGATGAACAAAGAGGCTGAAAGATTAAATGACTTATAAGTGACAGGGCTAGAATCTGAACGAGTTTTGACTAACTGTCATATTCTTTCCATTATGTTTATATTTTGGATTTTTTCCAAAGTACCCAGACCCAGCAGATAAAGAATGTTGCACAATCAGTGGAACTCAACACCAACTATAATAAATGTCTTGCCAATCAATTTGTCCTAGTATTACAGGTATTTGCTGAGGGGCAGTTAAGTTGTGCAAAGGTTTCTGTGATCACCAAACTTTTCTCTGTACTTTAATAACCCCTCGCACATCCATACCCTCTCACCAAACTGTGATTTCTTTGCTACTGCCGACTTCATAATTCCTTTACTCTCTGTAGCCTGGTCCAAGAAGTTGGTATGCTGAACCACATGTTAGTCCAGCTATTTATAAATCAAATTATGTGATCATAATTTCCAGAGGGTGAGTGATCATTGTTAAATTTCTCTTGCTCTGCAGTGTGCGTTCTGCAGTGTGCATTCATACAGTTAAAATTCATGACCTGGATTGATAGGATGCATAAGAGCACAGAATCAGATAGCTGAGGTTCAAATCCCAGTGCATGACTTGGTACAAGATTCTTTTATGTAGATAAATTAATTCTCTTCTATGAGCTGGGGAAGATAATGTAACCGTAGAATTGTTTGTAAGGACTAAATGGGTTAATATACCCAAAGTGCTTATGCTGGCACAGAATAAGTCATTTACCAGCACCTCCCCAGCTTTACCATCTGTTCACAGGGCTTTAAAGGAGCTGCTTTTGGAGTCTAGACTTCAGTCTTTTTCTCCAACCTAATAGATAAAGGAAATTTTTTTATACTACGTTGTTTTAACTGCCTGTTACTATAATTTTTTTCCTTCTAATCTTGATTTGGCTCTTTGAAAAGATAGTAGTTACATGTGAACACATACATACAGATTTTTCAAATGCCTGGTTCCGGCTTGACAATTTTGTATTTGTGTGTTCCTAAGCAGTGGGGGTTTGGCTCATGCCCCTAAGTTACACAGCGCTTCTTTTATCCATTGTGCCGAAGGGTCATTGAAGGGTTGGTGCTCTGTCAGCGGAAGCACATGCCTACTGCCTGGGTCAGAAGCATCAGAAAAACACAAGCATTTATTCAGCGCTGATCCAGAGTATTCATGTAGTCAAAACAAGCATTCATATTCATTATCCTGAACAAAAACCAGACTAAATAGGAGTATTTCTAGCTGCTTAGACACTCTGCTAACTGTTATCTGCTATTTAAAATGAAATGATACATATGGGGACTTTAAAAATAATTTGGAGCATGAATATTTGAAGCTCAGTTCATTTCACAAAGGTAATTTTTAGCCTCTCTGCCCTCCATTCTTTGGGCAATTATTTATAGATCCAAGGCCTGTGCCAAGTCCTATAATTGATGAGTAAAACAAGGTCCATGCTCTTAAAGAGTTAACAGTAAAGGCAGAAACATACCCTACTAGTAGAATGTGATGTGAGGCCCCGTTAGGTTCCACAATGATTCTGCGGTTTGTAACATGCGGAAGTAGAGGGTATATTACTACTACTATTTTACAGGTGGGAAAATTGAGGCTCAGAAACAAATGACTTTCCAAAGCCAAACAGCTTGTTCATGGCAAGACTAGCTCTTCTGATGAATTCTGTTGTACTTTGCCAGTCCTTTTTAACTCCATATGACAAATGATTACAGTGAAAAACTTCGTTTGTTTACCAACTGTCATTCATTTAGTTCACTGTTGAGCAGAAGGCCCGGAGGATCATCTGGGTGCCAGGCATTGTTCTAAGCCTTGCGGGTGCAGCTGTGAGTGAAGCACACTCTTCACGGAGCTTACATTTTCATGGGAGACAAAGAATGAGCAATTACACGACTGTGATGATCGTCACAAAAACAAGGCAGACTAAGGAAACAGCGATGGCAGCAAAGGGAGGAGTGGGTGCTGTTCTAGGCTAAATGCTTAGGGAAGGCATCTTGAGGTGGCATTTGAGCAGAGACCTGAAGGAAATGAGGGCATGACATTCATCCATCCGTCTGGGGGGAGAGTGCAGCAGTGCAAAGGCCCTGAGATAGGAATGAGCTTGGCCTATTTAAAGTACAGCAAGAAGCTGAATGTAACTGGTTAGAGTGAGGGAGGAGCAATCAGAATCGAATTCACAGTATCCAGTAGAATTACATGTTTGCTAGTTGAAAAATACAATTAACATTAGTATTTTTACTGGCCTATAATACACCAACTTTGGGCTCAACCTAGTTTTTCCTGACTTTTCAGCAAGGTTAATTTGCACAGAAGAGGACACGTACATAATTTTTATTTGAGCAGTGCTACAAGGTATTTTCACACATAAATTTTTGAGACATAAGGATTTTTTCAAATCCCATTTTCACAGATGAGAACCCTAAGGCTCAGAATATATGCACTTTGCCTGAGGTCAGGTCAGAGTTAGCATGGACAGGACGAGAACCCAGATCTTCCGGAGCCAAATTTACTGCTCCTTTCTCTGTACTGCCTTGATCATTAGATACAGTGAGTAAATAACCCACTGAACCCTACAAGGCAGGAAATTGAGGCAAAAGTTGTCCAACAGATCATTCATTCATTCATTTAGTAAACATTTTTCTGAAGAGCCTACTTTGTGCCAGTCACTCAGCTAGACGGGGGGTATAAGGATGATCATGACAACAGTCCTGGCTTCAGGGGCCTCATGGTGTCTTATAGAGGACACAGATGGAAAGGTGGTAAGTCAGTGTGACAACGGCTAAAGTACATATAAAGCAGTTGGGAGTTCACTAACCCATCAGTCGGGCAAGGCTGGCACACAACTTGGTACAAGCTGGTGTTTAGTAAATGAAGCAAAGAGGCCACTAGACCCAGGTGGTTCTAACACCTTGGCAGCCTACTCAAGCAAACCCAAATCTAAGCCCACACGTGCCTCAAGGTTAAGAAATAGACGCCTAAGGACAGCCGGTCCCTGAGGGCCAAGCAGTCTTTCCCAAATAACGCGACAGCTCAGTTCTTGCCAATCTCACCACCTCCTCGCGCCCTGCTTCTGCCCCGTCCCCCTCTGTATTCCGCGAGCTGCTGTGTCAGGAGTGCTTCTAACCGCTTTGGGTGTGACCCTAAGTGGTGGGAATCAGTTTTTGCTCAGGTGAACTCTTAAAATGTTTACTATGCCTCAGTTTATCTTTTAACACAAGGTACTGAGATATTTATTATCGTACCCATTTTCCTTAAGTCCTGGGAAGTCCTGGGTGCTTTCTTTGAAGTGTCCTTGCTTAAAAATCACTGAGTGATTAATTACACTTCTGATGGTCCTTGGCTTGTTAGGGTCCGGGCTTCCAAGGCTTCTCCAGAGAACAAACTACACAGGCATAGAGATGTAAATTCAAGCAAAGTCTTTATTCAGCCAGCTAGCTGGGGTCCAAGCGTCAGCCCGACGCAGCGGGTCTCAACAAGGACCCCAAGCACTCAGAGCCAAGGGTTTATATAGCATTTTCAAAGCACTTAACTCATAGTAATTTTCTACAACTATACATTATTCTTGCAAGACATACATCCTGGGGTTAAGCAAGGGCAGGGTAAGACTACTCCTCAATGGTTAGGGAGGTTCTGCACGATAAGCTTGGTATGTAAGATTAACTGACCAAGGTTAGCTGACCAAGGGTCACAGCTGCCCACCACCCGGTGCTCATGATTAACTTGTTTTTCAAGGCCTTACCCAGGCCCAGGTTTTTT